CGCGGGCTATATCCCCGGAATCAGCTGCCAGATTATTCTATTACCGCGTATCAACATGGGGTTTGTTTGATCTGAAAACACGGGCCCGCCACATTGTTTCACCCAGATAAAGAATTTAACGTCGGGTAATTAAAAGGACTTCCCTCCTTCCCCCCTCCCCCATCTTCCTCCTTCTCCTCGTCCTCCACCCCTTCCTCCTCTTCTACCACCTTCCCCCCTCCAGCCAGGGGGATGTGACGGTTCGGAGCGGAACGATCGAGTTGGAAGACACGCGGTGACTCGCGTCTTTAATTTCCTTCCGACTCGTCTCCGGTGATTTGTCGCGCGTAAATCCCTCCCGGGAACGTTTCGAATCACTTCGTGGCACGAACTTGGAGCATTCGCCTATGCATTACGCGGATATTAGCTTCGCAAAGTTGCCTCGTAGCACACACTCGAACTTTCGCTCCCCCGAAAGCGTGATCGAGAAAAACATTAATTCTAATCTTTTAGACATCTCTTAAAAAAGTCTTCATGCTAAGTCAAATTCGAAAATTGAAATACATGGAAATACTTGAGATCAACAAAACTATTCACAGTTTAAAATTCTTTAGATACAGAAAAGACTAAATAAAAATATATTGATGATATAGACTGATTATTACTCACCTCAGAAAGATAAATTTTCAATTTTCTATGAAAAAAAAATATAAATAAATATATAAAAAATTATAAATTATATATTTTTATCATGCTTAACGAAGAAGATAATTGGACATTTTGTAGTTCCTCTCTCCTATAAAAATTAAAAATCGGAAAGTCTTGTGATGTGACTCTTCCTTATTACGGAGTGAATTAGAGTTGCGGTTCCTGCCGGATTAGGACCGGATCCCATGCGTGATAAGGAGGACCATTGGACTAATACCATCCGCGAAGCATTGCATCTCGCTTTTCCGCGGATGATTAAATTCTATATCGAAAATGAATCGCTGAATTATTGACTAGTTTAGTGTTCGTTTTGTGTAACCGGCATTCGCCCTTGTTTAAGCAACGCTTTATTATATATTTAACCGCAACAAATTCATACTCGCCTCCCTTTTCCGCCGGCGATATTACGATAATTTAATTATTGTAATATTATCGAACTCTATCGCGACTGCGCATTAGTAATGAACGTACAAATAATTCCGCCACCACGTACCGTACAATGTGCGCGGTGTGTAGGGCAAAATAGCTTAATTCGTCCGCACTGGTGCGGCCTTTGTTATTTCCTCGAATAATATTACGGCTCGTTTGTAAATTCAATACGTCGACTTTTTAACTTCTCGCCGACTGTGTATCGAGTGCCATCGATCGCGGCTCGTTTCCGACGGACGTAACAATCATCGCCGTTATGGCCGCCCCATCTGTACGAGTGTCGCGCCCGGCACAACCCCATTCCCGTAACTTACACCTTTTCGTTTAATTGCGTAATTCTAAATAGATTTATTTTGCACGGTACTCATCGCGCGAACAAATCTGACATCACATTATGATACAATGCGTTTTTTCCTTGCTCGACATAATATTGCTCGTCATCTTAAAATTTCTCTCAACAATCCTACGTGAATCAATATTCTTTTTATTAAAAAGAATCCAAAACAGATTATCAAATATGTAGAAATAGTGCTAAGATAGAAATTTACTTCTCTCGACAGATTTTAATCAATATCTATCTTATCGATATTTCTTTTCCCATTTCAAATAATGTTTGGAGTAAAATTCTTAAAAAAAAAAAAAAAATGCCTACAGATAACTTCGAAAAATTCTCGTCCAAGTCAAATTTTTTAATTAAGAAAAAACCGAGAAAGCATTATTTTTTCCCCAAATATGATTTGACGACCTGTATTTGGAACATCAATTAAAAAAAGTATTAAAATAATTTTTTGCGCGTTATTTAAATTTTAAGTTCTAAGAAACAACGGAAAATTTCGGCCATTTCGAAAAGGAACGTGGTGTCCATTTGCACAGGTGTCGCGTCGCGGGACGTCGAGTGGCGGAAATTGTCAGCGGCAAAATTACGGGCAACGGTCGATTCATCGACGTCGAAACAATAACAATCGGCGTATGCCCGACGATGCGGTAATTAAAATAAAATTAATTGGATTGCCCGCGCGCGCACTCGTGGCCGAATCTTTCGAAGGAGATGACTGCACAGCCGTAGGGGTGTTTTGTGCGTTATTGCATATAATGCACTGTTTATTTTG